CGAAGCGATGGACGCCACCGGCCTACCCAGAAAACATCTGCGACTGCGGGACATGTCCGCGGGTACTCACTGCGTCGGCACCCAACGACCCTACCCAAACAAAGTCGCTCAGGTCATGCGCAAGATGAATGCCTCAAAGCCGCCCAGACCAAGACCAACCGCCACAGTCCCCCACTCGGACGAACAGACGCTCCAGCAGCGCCTGACAGCAGCTTTTCCCGGACAAGTGCCACTCAGGATGGACCCACACACTATCATCTGGACCGACGGTAGCTGTATTAAATCGGCTGAAAACGACGGCCAGAACAAGCTGGGTGCGGCTGCATACTGTGGACCCACCGGAAAAACGCTGCACATCGACCCAGCGGGCGAAGGATGTACGAATACCATTCAACGGGCAGAGCTGGCAGCAATACGCGTAGCTCTATCAACCCAAAGGGCGGTGAACATCACCTTAACAATTGCCACTGACTCGCAGGCCTCACTGGATCTTATCAAAAGAGCAGTAAACGATCCGAGTAAACTGCATATTTCCAAGCACAAAGCCTTACTAATGGACATCGCCGACCTACTGTACGAATGCGCCCAACAGAACATAACCGTTCACTTCCTGAAAGTGAAATCGCACACAGGCCTTGATGGTAATGACAAAGCTGACAAAGGAGCAACATCGGTCGCACGAGGTGAGAACCCAGCAACATTTACTGAAAAGGCCGACAATGCCCCGTTCGATAAAGTGTTCTGGCTGAAACAACGCGACACCGGTCTTTACGTTAATGACCTGAACAAAGGCCTTTATAAGCATCTCCAGCAAGGTACCTTCGCAGGCTATACCAACGACACAATACTAACTGAAAAATGGCGTAACACCGCCTCGAAGTTAGACCCCAAATCTAGCAATTCCTTCCTCAGTAACGCAAAGATGTCACACTGGCTCAAACTGCAAGTACTGAAAGCTCGATACGGGCTGCTATTTAATGCTAAACTAAAGAAACTTTACGGACGAGGCGGAGACGGCAACTGCCCTATCTGCCGCAGCTGCGGCCCGACCGGCCCCACACCAGACTCAGGAGCCCACATACTCGGCGGGTGCCCCCACCCAACCATGAAGGGCATGTACATCAACCGGCATAACCAAGCGACGCGCACTATTGCCGACTGCGTCAACGAGGGCCACCACGGTGGTGGCTTCATGATTATGGACGCCGGTAAAGAAGAGGATCTCCCGCCGTACTGCAGTGGGACGCGCGTCCCCAAATGGATGCTGCCACACTTAGCGGATGAAGAAATCCGCCGCCTCCGCCCAGACATCCTGTTCATCCCCGACCTCCCCGCGCACAAAACCAAGCGCAAACGGTACCAGGGGCCGGAGTGCAAATCCAAGCACGATGTTTACATTGTTGAAGTGGGCTACACCAGTGACCTGCAGCACTCCGACAAACTCGAACAGAAAACCGCACAGCATGCACGGCTAACAGAGGAACTCACGAAAGCAGGCTGGACGGTGCACTACACCGAGGCGCAAATTGTCACCCTGGGAAGTACTGGGACTCTAACCAACACACTAAAACCGCTACTATGCAGACTCGGCTCGTCCGCTGAGCAGGCCCAGAAGACCTGCCTGCACCTCCACCGGCAAACAATCGAAGCAGCGGGCACGATTATCCGGGCGCGGCGAGTAATGGAGGGTACAGTCAAGTAACAGGTACAACCCGAACGGTTTCCCACGGTGGTGCGGGCATACAGGAGCGGCTACGCCGCCCCTCAGTTCCCCACCCCCTTAACACACGCCAGGCCCCGGCCGGCGTACTATTATTATTATTATTATTAATTTTTTCCGCAGTTTTCATCCCGAAGCTAAGTGGAGATTCACGTAGCAACGAAACTAAACCTATGCTACCTGCTCATGTAGCCCTAGGGTGGGGATCTGTAGCTGTACAGCAGTGCAGTGCGGCACGGAACAGTTGCAGTGCAGCATCTCTGTATACATGCTCTGGTGCCGGTTGCTGCAGGACTGTCGGCTCAGCAGCAGTTCCCGCAGATGCCCGAGAGATTTCTGTATCCGACTGTTGCCGCATCGGAGGCCTTGTTGGTGGAGCAGATTACGACTACGCGTTGGATGGCTATCGCTTTGGCGTGAACTATGTGCCCGGCGTGAATTCATCAATCGTCACCCAGGCGCCGGCCATCATGCTCGTGGGGAAAGCAACAAGTTCAGGGGTAAGGACAACAACAAGGGCGGGGAATGTGTGCACAGGCGGTGCCTGTACAGGTACAGACATGTCTGAGATATATCACAGAAAGGGGTGGGGAGCTATGTATGCAGGTAAGCGGAGTTCTAGGGTAGGGTGGGGTACCAAGCAAATGTCATTTGCATGGCACCAGGTGAAGTGTGTCTCTAGACGGTTCAGGCCCCGCCCCAGCCAGTCCTGCCCCACCCTGCTGGCTCACGCGGGTGGCACAGCCTGTAAGACCAGGCAAAGAGTACTCTTGGAGGTGCCAAGGATAGCTGATCCCTTCTCGAGCTCGTACTCGTTCCCCCATCGAACGAACGTCCTTGGGATTTTTTATTTCGTCCGTCTTTGTCCGAGTTGGAGATTTTCTATTTTCTCAGCATGTTAGTCTTATTGCCCACCCTGGGATCTGCTTTGCTTTAATTAAGGAGGGTGCGGCATTATGTCTGGAGAGCTTCATGTCGTACCCAGAATTGATCTGGGGAATTCCCATCACCCTGCTGGCTAGCAACTTGCACCAATATTGGTACATTAATGTAGAAGTACTTGCAGAAATGCCATGGGAAACCGAATCTACAACTTTGATCGAAGTCCGCAAACTATCCCTACAAACGCGGAAGGGGGTTAAGAAACTTAGGAGAATGCTTAAGAACGATAAGAACGTCCGAAGAACACGGAGGAGGCGGGTGTGCATTCTTAAACATTCTTACACTGGGATTAAGCGGTTTTATGTAAGTATGTCATATAAGTGTGCATTAAGAATGCATCAGCCATGAAAACATTCTGTACAGGTGGAGTCGCCTAATTCCGAACAGGGGGTAATTCCGAACAGGGCTACTTTGAGCACATAACGAAAGAGATAGCGATCGCGCGCTTATATTCTTAAAGTATATGATTTTTGAAGTGTTCTATGGCCGGCGGACCGTTAGTTTCAGGTCGCTGTGGTTCCGGTGCCCAATCTTGCATGGAGACCCTGATTCACGAGGCACGAATACCACAAGGCGACAGAAGTACCAAAGAACCATCAGAGCATATTGAGATATATTAAAAGTATCCAGAGAGGCCTGTGATCAGCGCTATTTATTAGATTTCGCTCGTCCGTCGTCAAGTTTCGCGGAACCTTGCGAAGGCCGGCACGGCGACTAGAAACAGACGCAACACCCCATTCTTCAACATCCAACAGCTGTTCTTTGTTTATGCATATGTTTTAGAGATTTTCAGACGGCCAAAATGGGCAAAAACAAGCGCAAGGTCCCTCCACCATCAGAGTCCGCTCCTCCAACACAGCGCAAGAAGCAAAAGCAGCAGCGCGGGCCGCGCTGGACCCAAAAAGATCTCGAGGACGCCCTTCACACCTATGAGCACACGCGGGGGTGTTCGGGGCCGGGGACGCGGCCGGGGGCGCGACAGGGGGCACACCCGTGGAGAGCGTGCATCCCAGCCGGCCAGCCCAGTCCCGGTGCTCCGTGGCAAGCGTGCCAGGCGCCCTACAAAGCGGTGGCAGGAGTACGACCAGGAGAATAATTAGGAATGAAGCAGCTGTGCTTAGTTTGACCCTTACCAGGTGGTACTTGCAGGATGCATGCATGAAGACCTCAGCGGACCCAAGCATGTAGATTCTACTGGTCGCATTGGGTGGCTATTAACTCCAGTAATAGTTTTGAAGTTATTCGGTTCTTGTGGAACGTCGTTGCGGGTCGGAACAAGCAGGTTTGGGTCACTTTGCAGGTGTTCGGAATTACCCCCATTTTCTGAGAGAGGCATTTTTGTATAGGTCTGCGAAGTGAGTGCTACACGACGGGCATTAATGCATAACGCGGTACGGGACTTGGACACCTTGAAGTGTACTACAAGGCGGTCCTACTGCAACAAACAGGACCTTGTCAGAGCAAGTGGTGCGTTTTCTATCGCGTTTCGAGTGTTAGTGTTCGGAATAAGGCGACTCCACCTGTAATGAATGCCTGATGGAGCTCTTACAGTTCCCGGATAGGTATTATATCACAGTGATTGCGAAACAGTGAACATACCATGAAATTTCATGAAAACCATCAACATGTGTCTGGGTCTAATAATGCGAGACCTATTAGATGGATTAGCGAGTTCATAGATATCTATGGCTACATCGATGGCTACATCGATGTAGCCAATAATTAAATCCCCTATCAATCACCATGCATATCTAGTGGGCCGCACTGCATATACATCAGTGTGGAGGGTGCCCGATTGGCGGCCCATCCTTGCATTCTGGGGGAGTCTTGGCAGGATGCGTGATTATGCATCCTGTCAGTTGGATACATCCTACACCCCCTTTTCATATCCTCAAGCCAATGCTTGCAAACATCCCACACCCTGGTGACTGCATCCCCTCATCCTGTGCTCGACCCTCCACTGCATCCTGACTGAGCATTCTGCCACCGAGGAGACGCTTGGTGGTTAAGAATTAGCCAGATGCTATTGTCAACGAAGGCTTTGGTAAATTCGGTCTCGGGCACTCAAGAATTGGGTGTCCCTTGCAAGGGATACGGAAGGGATACCGTAAGGGATGAGCTTCCTCCCCTTTGGGGAGAACCTTCGGTGTCAAAGGAGTGGCACTGGAGGATACCCTCCTGTATCACCTTGCCACCGGAGGATACCCTCCTGTACCACCCTGCCACCGGAGAGTACCCTCCTGTACCACCTTGCCACCGGAAGGTATACTCCTGTGCCACCTTGCCACTGGAGAGTACCCTCCTGTACCACCTTGCCACCAGAGGATACCCTCCTGTACCACCCTGCCACCGGAGAGTACCCTCCTGTACCACCTTGCCACCGGAGGGTACACTCCTGTGCCACCCTGCCACTGGAGAGTACCCTCCTGTGCCACCTTGCCACTGGAGAGTACCCACCTGTACCACCTTGCCACTGGAGGATACCGTACTGTACCAACCTGCCACCGGAGGATACCCTCCTATACCACCTTGCCACTGGAGGATACCCTCCTGTACCACCTTGCCACCGGAGAGTACCCTCCTGTACCACCCTGCCAACCGGAGAGTACCCTCCTGTACCACCTTGCCACATTGCCTGGTGATGAACCAGCACTCGTGAAGAGCAATTTTTTTTGCATTCATTTAAAGGTGAAGCTGCAGAAGATGGCAATTGCTCGTAGCAAACCCAATGGGGCCCCAGGCCCCACCAACAGTATCCTAGCACGGCAGGACTGTAATAGGGAATCTTTGGCAGGTAGGCCGAGATGTAAGCTACCCGGGTGGGGTGCTATGGCCAGGCACTTAAGTATCACGATTAGTTGGTGTTCAGAGTTCAAGACTCTGCTGCCGCCATCTCAGATTGTTTCGTACCTGTCTATGTATGCTAGTGCTTGTCGCTGGGTTGGACTTCTTCCTGCCTCAGCGAGGACTCTAAATTCCACGCTTCCGCAAAGCCAGTTGTCCCGCCAGGTGAGCGACTGCTACAGTTTCAGTAGCCCCGAACTCTTCTGGTGGGGGCTTATAGAAAACACATGAGTCTGCCAGGCTCTCCATGGAAAGCAAGGATGCTTCCATTTGGATTCAGCTAACCATGGCAGTGGCCTCGGGGCGCCTCTTGTTTTTCATGCAGCTGCAGCAGCCAGGGATGGTGTTGGGCTGCAGCAGGTATGTGGCCATGTCAGGCTGCACGCCAGGGGCCAGGGCTGATAGCTGAGTTGCTGAACAGGTGTTGAGTTTTTTGTCGTACACGCACAAATGTTAGGATACGGCACTTGGATCATATCGCACATGTTTATAGCATAGGTAGTTAATAGTTGCCTTGTGATACTTTTGAGCATCGTGTGACGAGTTTTCTTCTAGAATAGGTTTAGTTATAGTGGTAGCTCATAACTTTCGATGTCGTAGGCTCGAGTCAAATCAAGTTCATACCATAACGTTACTTTTAAACTAATTGATTTCCCCATAGTTCCTGCGGATGCCTGAGAATTACGCACTCATCATGATAAGTACATGTGAGAATGTAGGGTTCGGTGAATGAGTCTATAAGACGATGGCTTTTTCATCACGACCATCCCTTATAAATCCCACATTTTTAAGGCTTAAGAATGTAAGCAGCAAAAAGAATTTCCTGAGAATAAGACTTAAGAATGAGTGCCGTACTTAGCAAGCCTATGGTAAGAATGGTTAAAACCGGCCAAAGAGCAGCTAAGTATGCTTTAGACAAAGAATCAATAAGTTGGCCAAAGAACGTATAAGAACACCCCAAAGAATGGAAGAGAATTCATAAGACTGCTGGGCCCTAAAGAATGCTAAAGAATCTCAAAGAATGGTTTTCATGAGTAGTTGCCTTACCGCTTATAGACGTGAGTAGAGCTTGGGTACCTGCGAGCAGAAGAGTGCACTTGCTTCCGTGGGAGGAGGCGAGCCTGGTTACCGAAAACTTCAATAATCGCCGGTTGGGGTGCGAAGGGACCTGAGAGGAAAAGGGGTGGCATAGCCTTGCTCCGTGCGTTACACGCTGCCGAAAAGGCTCAGACCCGGCGCAGCACCCTGTCAGTACCCCAGGGCCTTCGAGACCTTGAGCTTCGTGCCCACGCTATCGGCCAGGTATACCAGCATGGCCTCGCGCGACCGCCAGCCCCCGTGGGCTTGGAACAACCGCTCATCGACACCCTGCTCGGCCGCCGCCGTCGCGCCACCCGAGCGCAAGCTATGCAGGCCAAACAAGGCCTGCGCTTCACCGTGCGTGATCCCCATCACCTTTGCCACGGCCTTAAGAACGTGATACCGCGCCTGCGCATAGCCGATCGCTCGCCCCTCCAGGGCTGTGGCCGTACCGGCCCGGGCGGCTTGCCCATTGAAGCCCTGAAAGAGCGGCTGGTCAGCCGAGAGGCCCGACAGCTTAAGGTACCTCTCCAAAAGGCCCACTGGGCAGGCGACGCCCTCACCCCGAGCAATGCACACCACATTGCCTTCCCGGAACTGATCATTCTTCCGCTTAGCAATAAAGACAGCGGCGTGCGTAGCGTGGAACTGCACATCTCGCACCAAGAGCCCTGCCACATCATCGTACCGGAAGAAGCCCGCGAAACACAAGGCCGTGTACGCGGCCATCATGACACTCCACACTGGGGCACCGGCGAAGGCCAACAGCCGGACGACGGCCACGATCACCTCACGATTCAGCACAGCCATCCCGAGCGAGCGTTTCGCCGCCGCGCGCACAGCCTTGCAAAAGGGGTGCTTCGTCGGGTTCGCCCCCTCACACGCCAAGTCATGCTGCATGAAAATCGCAGCACTCGCCAGCTTAACGGATGCGTAACTTGACGCCGTTTTAGCCACCGATGTTAAGTACATCCCCACCACGACCGGGCTTGCCGGTAGGTAGCAGTAGCCGCCCGCACGGCACCACGACTTAAAACCTTCCCACGGATACGTGTACACCTTCTTCGTGGAGGCCGCCCGCGATGACGCGGCAAACGCTTGACTCTCCGCCAGTAGCCCGAGATGGCTTGGTGCGACCAGCCTCCCCGCTCGCTCCCAAAAGGACGCGGCAAAGGCGTCTGAACGGCCCAGCACAAAGGCAAGCGAGGGCACACACCGGTTCCCTGTCAGTGCCGGTTACTCTCGAGGGGTTGCCAGCGGAGCGCGCCACCTCCACCGGTTCTGGAAGGAAACCCGCACTGCCCACACCCGCCACCTGGGGGCCCCAACACCAAACTCATTCGCAGCGGTTTCCCCTGGCAAGAAAAGATCCTGTTGCTTATGAGGCAGCTCGAAGCAGCCAGTGACAAACTGTGCCAACTCACCCTCGCGGGGGCACAGCAACGGCCACCACACCGCCGACTTCCACACTGGCAGGACAACCGTCCCGGTCGCCGCCTGGCTCTTCATAAACTCCAGCACCCTGCCCACCAAAGCGAATGGTGGGTTACACCAGTTGTTTTCTTTTCCCCACGCCTGCGAGAAGCAATTCACTGCCTCGGCCCCCGGACACCGAAACAAGGAGTTGAACCGCTTTAGCTGGGCATTCCCTGCCGACGCGAAGCGATCCACCGTGTGTGGGCCCCACTTGCGGTCAAGAACCTCAAACCAGACTGGGTTCAGCTTCCAGTCGTCCCCATCCTTCAACTTGCTGAAGTAGTCGGCAACCTCATTCAACTCACGAGGGATCCAGGACACACTCAACTGCACCTGGTGCTCCTTGCACCACCAGAAAATCTTCAAGGCCCACTCCTGCAAGTGTGCCTTCCGACTGCCGTGATCAACAATACGCTCCGCATTCTGGCTGTCCGTCAGCAAGTGCACTCGCCGCCCTCTCAGCTCTTCCTTCAGGGACTCGAGAGAGAAGAAGATAGCCGCCAGCTCGCGGTTCCCCGACGAAGTACGACGCAAGTCCCAAGACAAGTACCCCCGCGCGACCGGTTGCACTGAGCGTAGCCCTGGGCCTGACACAACACCCGCCCAGCCTGTAGCGCTAGCGTCATAGTTTACCTCCAGCACGTTGACCTCCGGGGGTCGCCTGATAGGGCTAGTCAGCCGCTCCCGGTCTAGCGACTGCCAAAAGCGTAATTCCTCCCGAACCTCCGGGGTAACCGTGACCTCACTCGACCACCCCCAACGGTCGGGCAGCAGGGCTGTCGACGCCCGCGTGAAGAGACGCCCCAAGCGCCCGACTACAACGTACATGCTCACCGCGTGTCCCACGACGCGTGCCAGAGTCCTGGCTGGAATGCTAGGCCGTGCTAAGGCCTCCATGACCGCTCCCTGGAACGATTCCCAACGGTCTGTTGGGACTACAAACACCCCTTTAGCGCTGTCCACCAAATAACCCAGACAGCGCACCTCCGTCGTGGGAGTCAGCACGCTCTTCTCTTTATTCAAGGCGACGCCCGCCCGCTCGAACTCACGCACGATCTCGTCCCGCCGGCTTGCGGCCGTGGCGCGATCCGACCCCAACAAGAACAAGAAGTCGTCTAGATAGTTAATGAGCCGATAGCCTTTGCCCCTCAGGTAGGCTGAAAACTCGCGCATAAGTTTAGAGAACGCCCACGGGGCAGACACGAGCCCGAAGGGCAACACTGTAAACACGTAAAAGCGACCTTCCCATTCAAAGCCTAGGTAATCGCAGGCGTCCTCGTGCATCCGGAGCTGCCAATAAGAGTTTGTGAGGTCTGCACTAATAAGCAAGTCGTTCGGCTGGATAATTTGCTCCAAGTCTGTCAGCTTCTCGAATTTGAACTTTGGGCAGTACACGTACTGGTTGACATACCGCAGGTCAAGGAGTAAGCGGAATTTGCCGGGCTGACGAGGCTTCGGTATCGCATTTAAGGGGTTAACGACCCGCGGGCGCACGCTAACCTGCCGCACGGCTCCTGCTGCCAGAAGTGCTGAGACGGATTCGGTAACAAAGGCCCGCTGCTCCAGCGCCCCTTGGTGATTTCGCATGACCCTCGGCGGCGGTGTGACGCCTGCCTGTTTCCACCACAACGGAAACCCCTGCTGCACCCACTGCTTGGTCCACGAGCTGGAGCAGACCGACAGCCACCAGTTGGCGTTCACATTGATGTTGCCAGACGCGGCAGGCAACCCGGCGCCTTGAACGACGTCACCACCCTCGTGGGACCCGGCCCAATCTGAACGCATGTTACACAAGGGCAACCGGCCGTGAGCCGGGCA